AAGCACAAACACACGCACACACACACACAGACCAACAGACCAAGAGACAGACAAACGGACAAACAGACAAACACGCAAACACACAAACAGACACAGACAAGCAGCCACACAGACACAAGGACACGCAGACACACAGACACACAGACACACAGACATACAGACACAGAGACACACACGGAGAGACACAACTCTGAAGATACATGGCAGGTCGGTACTGCCAGACCCATACTTGTTGTGAAGGACGACCATCAGGTCGTTAATTAGGGGTGCACGTCCGCAAATGCACTCATGGACTGCGCATGACTGACATGAAAAACACGTGCAGATTGCGGCAACCATGCAAAACTCATGCAGAACATGTGAGTGACAAAACCTGAAAACCTGCCTTCGTACAACTCATCATGGCACCTGGGCCGTTTGCTAATCTTGCTGGCACAGGGGCCCCAGCTTTTTGCAGGTACATGCTCGCACGTTTGTGAGCCCTTCCGGTCAACATCCGTAGCTTCGTTGGCGTGGCTAGGATGAGACCGCCACGCCCCCTGCAACATGAATGTCAACAACGCACACAACCTGACAAGTTCAAGGTGCAACGTTTTTCGCATGTACAGCAGAATAGCACAAACAGGCCTCCGAAGGGCCACCGGTAGACTGTACAAAGCAGTCCAACACCAATGAGCAATCGGTTGTATTCGGTACATTGGCAGTGTTGATATCGCGGTATTTTTTCATGTCGTATTTGATGCAGCTTGGTTGTATTTGGTACATTGGAGGATTCAATATTGAAGGATGTCGGAACGCAGTTCCCAGGGTCAATGGACAGTCACTGATGCAGCGCGTTTCAGAAGACGTTCCCGAGCAATCGACATGCAAGTGACGTGGAAGTCACCTTCAAGTGACGTGCAAGTAACGTGCAAGCGACGTGAAAGTGAATTCAAGTGATGTGCTAGTGATGCGCAAATGACATGCAAGAGATGTGCAAACAACGTGCAAGTGACGTGCAAGCGACGTGCAAGTGACGTGCAAGTGATGTGCGAGGGATGTCCAAGTGATGTGCAAGCATTGTGCAAGCGATGTGCAAGTGACGAGCAGCATGCAGCTGTACGACATAAATAAAATAATAAAAATCACAATATCAACACGGCCAATGTACCGAATACAACCGAGCCATCGTCTTTCCATGCAACAGAACACCACCGACTGTCCGAAGCTGCGATCACGATCCAACAGCCCGCAATAATGCCGGATTAGGCTGCTGCCATAAAGGCCGTGATACCATTGTTGTTTGTAGAGTCCTTATCTAAATCTGCTTCAAGCACCAACTCATGAAAAAACTCAACGAACTAACGAACTAAGTAACTAGCCAACTAAACTACGCTGAACTACACTAAAACTACACTAAACTAAACTAAACTAAACGAAACTAAACTAACTAGCTAACTAACTACCTAGCTAGCTAACAAGCCAGCTAGCTAGCTGACTAACTAACTAACCAACTACCTAACTACCTAGCTACCTAACTAACTAACTAACGAACGAACGAACGAACTAACTAACTAACTAACTAGCTAGCTAACTAACTAACTAGCTAACTAACTAACTTATTCATTAATCAACTAACTAGCTAACTAACTAGTTAGTTACATTAACTAAATAAGACTATATTTAAACAAGCCTAAACTATAGTTAAACTAGACGTAACCAGATAGCTAGCTAGCTAACTAACTAAGCTAAACGATATTTACATGTACACTAAACCAATTGAACCGAAATTAAACGGAACTGAACTAAACTAAACTGACTGGCCCGACTGGCTGGCTCTGGCTGACTGACGGACTGACTGACTGACTGACTGCCTGACTGACTGACTGACTGGCACCCACACACACACACATCACCCGGGTCAGGCAGAAGATGCAATCCCGATCTCGGCTTTGTACCGGCAGAACCTGGAGGCCAGCGCAGGAACGGGTTCGTTCCGGTGCGTTTCGTTATGCCAGGGAAATTGGCTGATTGATGGACAGAGTGTCTTCTTGTCAGAAAGCAGGACTCAGCTTCTCAGGCGTGCCAGGACTGTGCAAGATGCGCCTGGAGGATTGCGCGCAGTCTCAGAGCAAACGTGCAGCTGCTAAAGACACCTTGGCACTGGATAGTGCGGTGCCTTGCTGGTAGTCGCGCATTGGTACTTTCGCGTTATGCACGAAAGCGGATTAGCAGTGCTGCCGGAATCGGAAAACGTTGATCCATCAAGGAACGAGTCAGAAAACTGAATTAAGGACACTTAAATGAGCCTCAATCAGCCTCAATCAGCCAAGGACCGTGAGACTGACCTTGTGCAAATGTGCTTGTTGATGGTAGGTGTCTTGGCGCTTCCCGATCTGCACTCTTGTTGGTTAGTCCTTGGTCAAACGAATGTTCTGGCACCTTAGCTACTGATCCAGTTGTGGAAGTCTTCAACCCTGCTGGCGCGCAAAATTGGAACACTCAACGGAGAAGAGGAGACCTGCAAGCCTCAAGTTCCTAGTGAAAGAAGGGCCACGTGGAGAGTTTGTGTTTCTCTCTCGCGTGGGTTGTTTTTCATGCATTGATATGCAGTGTTTTTGCGGTCATTTGCATGCCACGTTACCCAAGCCCTTGTAGCAGCTCAAGACGCATCGCGATTCGGGTTTTCTGCAGGCCCTGATCGCGAAAGTGGAAGCTACAGCGAGTGGTCTGCCCCAGGCTGGACTTGAAGTCGTTCGAGGGCCAAGTGCCATCTGACTGGGTACCCTGCGTCGGCCCTTCCTGTCCGTTTTTGCCAGTTACCATTGCGACCGGCACAACCCCTCACGATCACGCCTGGCGAGGCGTTGGGATGCTCACCTTGTGTTTACTTGCTACATGGCTCACGGAGGGTTTCCTGGGTCTGCCACCCGCAGCGGGCACGACAATCAGCTTGGCGAGGTCCTAAACTGGCATGTTGGTAGATTACCACGCAGAAAACACGACCTCAAAGGCATACCATGGCACACCATAGCCTAGAAGCTAAGTTGAGTGTGCGAACGAGACCAAGACTCGGAGAGATGGACATGGCACCTTTGCAAGATTTTGCAAGCGAAGTGTTATGGCCCAAGGGAACGACGTGTGACAGAACACTCCAGTGAATGACCCAGATGAACCTAAGACTGATAACAGGTATGAGCGTGTCCATGCTTGGGTCCGCTTCAAGAGTCAGGTGACTCGTGCCGGTCGTTCGAATACATGCTTAGATAACTCGAGGAAGCAAGGGTGTGCCAACGACTGCGGTGAGTCTCAGTACGGACAAAACGGCGAGCGGCTGGCTAGTGGTCTTCCGGCCGCTTGGTCAAACTTGGCTAGCTGCTTGAGCACGGGTATTGCTGTACCATGCCTTTCTCGCTTGGATCTATAAGAACGATCTGTTTAAGTTCTTCGTAAAGCCAAGGCTAAGCATGGTTTCACGCTCTCTCTCCAGTCCCCTGATCCAGACAATCGCCTCTCAGAGCAAAGCTGGGAGAACTTGTCGGGGGTCAGGCGGCCAGGGTGGAGCTACGCAAGCCGATTTCCCAAAATGCAGCAGTTTCCAAGATCTGCTTTCACATGTCGCAGTCAAGGAGCCGCTGAGCTCTACAAGGCGGGGGCGAATGCATTGACGTCCATGCGGCAAGACTTCCGCACCTATGTGCAGGCAAGTGCAGCACCTGCGGAAGGTGGATGGTGGCCTTTTCTCAGATGCACCGAAGTGGCAGGCAGCGGGGGCATGAAGGACTCTGCAAAGATTGTGCTGTCCTGGGGCTACAAGCGGAGTTCGATCAGGCATCCCCCCACCCCTTCTTCCTCTGCCTCCCACCCTTTTCTCCTCCGGGAACTGGCTCGAGCTCTGGATTTTTAGTCTCAGATCGTCGAGATGTCAAAGGACCCCAGATAGGAAAGCGTGAGCCTGTTCGGCTCAGTCCCAAACCCCACATCAGGCCATACGGGCCCAGACATCGCACCGCCAATGCAGATTTCACGTCCAGGCCATCTAGGGGTTATGGAACCAAGTCTAAACGGTCAGCCAAACGTGCCCTGGGCATCGCGAACGTCGAGCGAAAACTTGCCGACAATCAACAATGAGCTTTTTGCTCTGAACATCGATGGTAGCATGCGCCACCGCAGTTGCGCAGGGACCTCGCACTTGCGTTCTGTTTCGTGCTTGAATCTTCTCACCCAGCGTCACCCGATGTTGCCGTCTTTTGTCTGCCAAGCTATCTTTGAAACTAGGGTTAACCACCTCCTCCAGGCTTCAGGAACTGCCACCCAACGTGTCCTTCACAAGTGCAAGGCTTCCAATCGACATTTTCCTATCTGTCGCCACGAAGCAATGCGGTTTAGGTCAAACTCCCATCTTCAGATATTGGTATTTCACAGGGACGATATCGTGCCAACGGTTGAGGGAGAGGGAGAGGGAGAGGGAGAATGTGCTAGCAACCCCTGAAGTCCAAAAGGAAATGTGGGCTGGGAAACTGTAAACCCTGAAAACACATTGGCCAAAAAATCGTGGACCTCAAAACAGTGTCTGATGGCAGACGGAAGTCTCGGCTGAACCATTTACTGGGAGACATGGTTCGTACAATAAAGCAAAAGCTGCGTCGCAAATCTGAACCGGGGCAGGAGACCTTGGCTGGCAAAACCTAAAGCCGAAAGCAGATCCGCGCGACAGGGCACAGTGCGAAATCTGGTTCCCGCATCGTATTCTTTAACACATTGCGATACATGGACAGCGTCTTGCTCTAGAAAACCTCGAATCGCAGCAGTGGGAAAGGATTTGGTGTGTTCTTCTGGAACGACATGTTGACAGGGAAACCACGATAAACACCTACAAAAATCATAGTTGCAGCACTGCTTAAAACTCAAGCGACATGTTTGCTGGCAAACTCCGGAGTTTTTCTGAACGAAATGATTATGCATCTGTCGGGGATGTCACAACATACTGTTTTCGGGTTCAAGCTTTGCTCAGGCGCCGGCTTATCCAGCTTTAGGAATCACCATGCAGCATCTGACTTTGTGTGTTCTGGGGTGTCTCAAGCTGCTGCCACAGAGAAAAAACAAGATAGACTTCCCGCTAGGATCTACACCTACAATAGGCAAGCCGGTTCTGCCACGAAAGCGTGTGCGCTTTCGGAGTCGCAGTAGTGACCCAACACGGGCATCGAACAAAGGTAGGGCTAGTAAGAGACGTAGGTTGACAATAAGGGTAAATCTGTTTCAGAGCTTTTGATTGACAAAATGCGTGAAGCTGGCTGGACATATTATGCGTACGCCCCAACAAGACCCTTTACGTCAAGCAAGTTACCCGCCGGATTCGGCAAAATTGGTTGTTTTACACGAACAAGTTCATTTGGGAAACAGACACGGCATGTCCTTTTGCTCCTTCTGCTAGCACAAACAGGCAAAATCAGTACATAGAGGAGAACGCAGTCAACCGCCTTTTTTACAGACGCACTGCGTGCCCACGGTCTCACAATCATGCCAAGAGAGGCAGGAGATTGGCAACAAAGAAGAGAAGCCCTACTGCTCTTGGTAGTAGTGTGAACCGGTTGTTGCTGACCCGTGTTGTTCTTGGACACGTATCCTGACTCTGACCTGCTTGATTCCTCATGCTAGCAACCGTGAAGACAATCCTGGATTTGCCAGGCTCTGTGAACTGGAACAGTCAAGCTTCCCCAAATGGAACCAGCCAGCACTGTTGCAGGCTCTGTGCTGACCCTAAACCCAGCGTGCGCGCCATGCCCACGCCAGCTGTGAGCATAAAGAAATCCCAAACAAGCAAAGGTCAATCGGACAAGAACCATCAGTAGCCACCCCAATTCCCGCGTGGAAGTTTGATGTGGGAGCCTTTGGCGACAATGCGCGCAAGTTAACCGATGTCGGTGTCAAATTGCCAAACCTGCCAATCCCGATCTTCAAATCGTCGAGCTTGGGGTGAGGTGCAAATTCTGTTTTCGACAGGACATCCAGTTTTGAAAACCTAGGGCTAGGGGTTTGCATGCGGCTTCCACGCTCTTGCCCATTGTTCGATTTGGCAAGTTTGAGGCTTAGAAAATTGAGAGGAACACGCCAGCGTGTCCAGCAGAATACGTGCTGACTTCCACCAAAGACTCGACGTGAACCACGTACATGCTGTACAGACATCAACAAGTAGCTGCGAGGTGGCCGTTTGACTCTGTTGGTTTCTTAGTTTTGTCACCGGGCCAACAGCTTGGAGAGTTTGATGCTTCGATCAAATTTCGAGTTGCGTGTCCACCGAGAGTCCGAGAGGGCATCATGCTTTGACTTAGATTTCCAAGTTGAAAGTTGGTGGAATCTTACAGGCTAGACATCACGGTGTGCGAGTTCGAGAGTTGATCCGGGCATTTGATTTGACAATTTGACAGTTCTACGAGTCTATCAGTTCGAGAGATTGAAAGTTTAGAACCAGATCAAGCTCGGTCAGAGCGTTTTTGAGAAAAAAAGGCCTCGCCGAAGCCACTCCCAGTCCGACGGCCTACCCAACACTTTGCTTCAGTAGGTGGAGCCTGGCACAGCACCAGTTCTACCCTCCAGGCGGGACAGCCAGATACGATCCTGCACTGTCTGAAGTGATATGCAGGTGTCTGGTCTGTTGTGTCAGCTGACGATCAAGGGAGACGTTCCTTGCTGTCGTGTGAGGGTTTGTGCTTGGTCCGGACATGTCCCGACTACCTACAGTCTGCAAGTGCATCTCTTGCTGCACGTAAAGAGCTTCCAAGAGCATCGAAATGTTGGGCCAGGCATCGAGCTGTGTCGAGGCGGATGGGCATTTGGGAACCTTTCGCGCCAGCTCGTTGAAGACTCGAGCTGAAATCAGTTGGCCACGTGATTTGCTTCAGGTCGATTTGGTCCAACACGGTAGGCGTCTACGAGATCTGCCCAGAGATGTCCGAGGCCAACCGATTGCCGTGCTTTCGAAAGGCCATCGATTTTTTTTAGCTCGCTGGCTTTCAGCTTTCAGGGTGCCGGCTGATTTTTCAATCTGTTAACATTACCGCAGAAGCAGATCTCAAAGGCTGTCTTAGCAGGCAAACCAGGCCCCGAAACAGGAGCATCAATTTACCCGGCCGGGGGGGGGGGGGGAAATGGAACGGTCCGCAGGACTCTCTGGCTTGTGGGGAGGGGGGAGGGTAGATTGAGATATCCACAGCCGAGTCATCATCATCATCATCGTGGTATTGGGCTAAAACATCAAGACAGTACTGTAAATACCGAGTTAAATCGATGTGCTCTTAGAACGTACGTCATCATGCCCCCACCCCCCACATCCCACGCCCCTCAACAGCGGTGGTTGGTCTTGTTGGACTACGACATCACGACAAAATGGAAATACCGAGTCACATGGATGTGCTCTTAAACAGTGTTTAAAAGAGGTGGTTGG